AACTGAGCTCTATTCATGAACAACTGAAAATAGAGCTTAAAAACTGGATTGTAACAAAATCAAAAACTTTAAGTTCAAATTTTTCTAAAGGTCCCATTTAGATCCTGAATTCGCCTTCTGCCTGCTTTAAACTCATCACTTTATATGTGTGGAAGATGTAGCTTTTACTACAATATTTATCTGTATCTTCCTCCTCCCTGGCATGAATAGGTTTGTTTAATTTAAAAACTTATCTACATTTAGTTAAATACACAAAGACTAGCATCCGCTCAAATTAACTGAAAAATTCAAACAAAAGTAAGTTTGTAGAAGAAAACAAACAGAAATGGGAGGCATAATGATTTGTTGGTACAAATTATGTTTCAACTTACAGTTCTAAACCCAACTCGAAAACAGATTCTAGAAGGTGTACTCATGGCAGATGTGAAATAATTACTCAAATAACAAAATCTAAATTCCAAATCTATCCTATCGGATGGATAAAATTCACCACAAGCCTGTGCAGTGCTTAAACCTGATTAATTCTTGTCTTTGAGCCAAAAGAGCAAATTTGAATGTTAACTTAGGCAAAGCCATAGAAGGTAGATACAAACACTACATTTCTTAAATAACAGCTGATTTTTCTTTAAAATCACTCTTCTAACTTGAGACTATTCCTTTGAAAACAGGATGGGGATTTGAGTTACTTAGGATTTCTTTAAAAGGCATTTTAAAGCAAGATTAACTGTTGGTTTAAGTCTTGACATTTCCCGATTCATAACCCTAAAGCTTAATGAGGCACAACAGATTTAAGAATTGAAGATTTTTAATGAAAACGGAAGTTAAGGACAGTTTGGTGCAACACACTGTCACCAAAAATCTGTTTCAAATAGAATTGAATCTCTACATGTAAAAAATACAAACTATCTAAGAAGACTTTCCCCTTAAAATCTCAGTCCAAACTTTTAGAAGACCAGGGCAGACTTCGATAAAAGTATGACACTATACTCTGCAAGTAAAATTCTAAACTTACAATTAAGGCCTAAAAAATCATATGTAATTTTAATTTGGGTGTATATCGATATCATTTTAAGACATGCTTATAATATTTTAGGACACACTAATTATTTTTCAAATTGCATTTAATGCATTTGCAGTGCACTACATCTGCCTGCAATGCGGGAGACCTGGGTTCGATCCCTGGGTCGGGAAGATCCCCTGGAGAAGGAAATGGCAACCCACTCCAGTATTCTTGCCTGGAAAACTCTGTGGACAAGAGGAGCCTGGCAGGCTACAGTTAATGGGGTGGCAAAAGAGCTGGACACAGCTTAATGACTAAACACCACCACCACCTGTTAGTAATGACCACATGCCAGAAGTTTTTTAAAGGGCAAAGATACACATAAGGAGAAGAAACTGTGAATACCAGCTAAGTTAATTCTTACTTTCAAAGGAACTTGAAATTCAAATAAACATAGAGAATACATGTATGTTTTATTCTTAAAATGACTGTGGTATCCTAGATTTTCCAGTTTAAAACAAAGCCTTTTTTTCCCCCACATTTTATGTATTGAAATTAATGCCATGAAAGTCCATACCTAATATGAGAAAATCACATATGGTTTGTGCATCTTTTTTCATAGGTCCTCATTCAGCATTTAAAGCAGAAATCTATGTGATAAGACTAAGAATCTAAAATATTTGTGAAACTTAAGGTGATGTCTTTGATGTTTCATAACCCATTCAAGTGTATTTAAAATAGAATAATGGAGCTATGCAGTCAAAATGAGAACCAGAAAAACAAAGCAGGCTTCTAACCTATTCATGACTGGATGGGTAGTAAAAGTATAATTGATCTTTTTTCCCTGATGATAAATCTATTTAAGGATTTGAAAGTCACTTGTATGAAAGGAAAGCTTGTCATAACTTTGTGATATCCCTTGATCAGTGAAGTTTAATGCTCAAATTCTGCTTTTTTTCTTTTTTAGAGGACAATGCTAATGCCTCAAGCTAAAATGAGCAAGAATAGAGAAAATCTTAAAAGCTGAATATCATAATATGCAAAATTGACTAGAATTATGTAAATCTAGGTAACAGAATAACTCAACTAGTAAAGATTCTCTTAAAGTGAAAAAAAAAAAAAAGTGTTCCAAGTAAAACAAAAAAGACTTCGGTTTATTAAAGGCATAAAGTCCTTTTGAATATTTAATTATTCTTCTTTAACTGGTCTGAAAAAATAAGGCAGCTCAGAATCTAAACTGATAACTTACTCATTCTTTTTTCTAAAACTCTTTGACTCCTTAGTCTGGCTTGAAGCTTAAAAAGAAAAGCTAGAGTTCTAAAAAGCAGATGACTGCAGAGTGCAGAGGGGCCATTTTCACACTGCAGATAGATCTATGTTATTCCAGTGTGTAAAGCAGACCATTAGCAGAAAGTCATTTCCAATCTTGGTGTGTACAATCCACACAGCACACTTAACCCGAAAACTCATGATGCATGAACCGCTCTGCTTCCACTTCTAATGACCTTGTAAATCACTCAGTGTTATTGCTTAACTCATACCCATGAATTACCCAAATAACTTGATGACAAAATTTTAATCTCCCCTTTCTTCGAGGTTTTTGAAAGTCAACCTCGGGTTGGCCTGTAAGAAACTGAGAAAGAACATACAACAGAAAAGGGAAGTGCACAATTTGACATTTACAAATTATATATATATATATATATATATATATATATATTTTTTTTTTTTTTAATGCTTAAAAAATCCACACCTGGTTTCAAAGCAGATGACTCAAAGAGGAAATGAGGTTGTTCCATGGTACACAGATTAGTCCCATGTTATCAGTGACCAAGAAACGTCTCCTCCTATCCTAACTTCACTGCACACTATTCAATTAAAACTTACTTTCAAATCAAAAAGTTAGTGAGCATACCATCCAGAGATGGACTCTTAGGATAAATTGCCTATAAATAATTAAGACCACGCTATGATGTCCAAAACAACATGTTTTTTAAAACAAGATTTTTCTAATCTACGACGTATTTGTTTTTTAAATCTGATGTCTGGGAGGGTTCTTAAGTTTATCTTGTTTTCTCCTTCACTTCAAACACTTGAAGTAGCACTTTTTTTCCTTCCTCCCCTTCAGCCTAACCTTTTCAATAAACCCCATTTTAAAAGAAGAAACAATAAATGAACTGACAGGAGGTGAAAGAATGAGGAGTGTGCGCTCCAAGAATAAAGGGCGGTTTTATAACAGGAGGTACTTTTGTTAGCAAGTGACTGGCAGGTCTCCTCCCCCAAGTTAGAAGAAATTCCATCCACTCCCCAAAAGTGCAGAGGCCAAAAATGTCCAGTGGAACAGTTCTGAAACCCCAGCGTCTGCAGAGAGCCGAGGGGGGCGGACTGGCGAATGGGGGAAGGGGAAAGAGACCAGCATGAGAGGAAAGAACAAAAGGAGAAACCCAAGAAAGGAGAAAGGAACGGCGGGACCTGGGCGGCCCGCGAGCCAGTCGCGGGGGAAGAGAGCCTGAGAGTAGGCGAGCGCGACCCGGGGGAGGCGAGCGCGGAACGGGCGCACCATGGACAGGGCTCGGCGCGGCCCACACCCCTCTAGGGGGCGGCGGGAGAGAGCGCGCGAGACCGCGGGCGCCAGTCCGGTCCAGCCCCCGGCGCCCGCGGCCGGAGCGCGCCAGGCCCTGACCCGTGATGACCACGGAGGGGGGCGATCCGCACCATCTGTCCCTGCCCCGGTCGCCCCGGGCGCCGCGGCACTTCCGAACCGCGCCCGCACTTTTTGGAGCAGTCGCCGGCCGGCCACCGCCAGCCGCCGGCGGTGCGCTGGTGGCCCCCTGGGGCGGATTCCCCCACCCCCACCCCCGAGACCCCTTCAGGCCGAGAGGGCGGACACGCCCCTCTCCCGCAGCCACCGCGGGCCCCCACCGCCCGCGGCGGCAGAAGCGGGACCCCCGGCCGGACCCCGCCCAGGGCGGGGGGGTCTCGGCCGCGGCGCAAGGCTTCCCTTCGCCAGACCCCGCTGGCGGGCTAAGAGGGGCCTCGGGGCATCCTCTTGCCGGACGCCGCGGGAAAGTTGGACGCTCGGCCGGGCTGGGGACCCGCGCGGAGTGGGGAGGGAGGCTGAGACCTGCCTGGAGCAGGTGCTTCCCGCCGCTGAGGAGCCTCCCGGTACCGATCCCAGGGATAGGCTGTCTGGCGCTCTCCCGAAGCCGTGAAAAGTGCGGCGGCTCCCGGTCAAGGCGCCCCCAGGACGCACGCAGGGCAGAGGCAGCCGGACAGAGGAAGAGGAAAAATAGCCGAGTAACGGAACTTCTCCCTGCCCGGCGGGATAAGGGGCGTGCGGGGCCAGGGTCTGGGTGCGGAGGCGCGGGTCCGCGGAGACTCGTCTGGGCAAGGGAGCGTGGTTTTCTTTTCAGGTAGGACCGACAGAGAAAATTGCGAGGGCAGGAAAACAGAAATAGGCAGCAATTCGACGCTAGGATAAAGACAATAGGACACTGGAGCCCTCGGGCACCGGGAGCCGCGCGGGTGCCAGGGTGAGGTGGGGTGGAGGCAAGTCCCGTAACTAAGATACCAGAGTGAGAATTCCAACTGCAAACTCGAGACCCATCTCTGCAGAAATAAACAAAAAAATTGGAGCAAAGTGCTACGCGAGGGGTGAGAAGCATAGAAAACTGCAAAACCGGAGTGCTGGCGTAGCTCACCCTTCTGCTGCCTAGAGACACCCCCCCGGGAGCTGGCTGGACCCCCGCAGGGGCAGTGGGGAGACCGTGATCAGCCCCTTTGGGCACCCGCCAAGAGAGGCGCGGGAGACCGGCTGGCCCCGGGCGCCCTGCTCCGGCGCCCGGCCCCTGCCTCGTGTCTGCGCAGCTCCCGGCCGCGCGGTGCGGCACCTCCCTTCCCGGGTGCGCAGCCCGGCCCCGCAGCGGCGCGGGGAACAAAGGGACCCGGCGCCGCCCGCCCCACCCCGCCCGCGGCCCGGCCCGCGGGGACCGCCGCGTACCTGAAGCAGGGCCGCCAGCAGCGGCAGCAGGGTCCGCGGCGCTCCCACTATCCGGCACATGGAGGCGGAGAGGGGCCAAGCGAGGAGCCGGAGGCGGCGGCAGCGGCAGCACCAACAGCGGCGCGGAGAGACGGCTCCAGGCAGTTTCCACCCCCTTCCCTTCCCTCCCCTCCCCACCCCACCCCCTTCTCCGCTGCTCCGCGCTCCCCGCCAATGGAGAGCGAGCTGATGACAAATAGCGGGCCGCGGAGTCCGCGGGACTCGCACCACGAGTAATAAAACAGACCGAGATCAAGGAGCTGGGGAGGGGGCGGGGGAGAAGGCGGGCGTGCGCATGAGGGTGTGAGTGTGTGCGTGTGTGTGCGTGTGTGGCCGCGGTGGCAGCGCAGGCTGCTCTGTTTCGGCCCCAAGCGCAGCGAAGCCAGGAGGGATGCAGGCGGCGGGGACCTCGGCCGGTGGAAGATGCGGAGGTGCAAGCGGAGCGGCGGGAGCGCCCCAGGAGCTCCGCAACGCGAGGTTTCGGGCTCGGGGTTTTGCTTCCTCCGGGTCCCCTCTCTAGGGCCGCCGGGCACGACGAAGACGCCGGCGAGAGCGCCGCGGGGAGGGCGCTCGGGGCCGTGCGCGCTGCGCCCACAAAGGGCAGCAGTCCCGCCGCCCGGCGCCTCCGCTGCGTGGGGGCGGAGGTCCGCTTCTTGGCGCCCCTTGCCGGTCCCCCCGGAGAGTTGGAGACTGTTCTCCGGCCTCGGCCGCGCGGGGATGAGGCCAGGGGCCGGCGCGGCCGCTCCCGCCGCGGCTCCGTCCCGCGCAGTTGCCGCCGCGGCCGCCCCCGCTGCCCGCGCGCCGGTTCTCGGCCCGCGCCGCTCACTCGCGCGCGCCGCCCCACCCCCGCGTCGCTGCCGCCGCCCGCGCGCCTCGCTCGGCCTCCGCGAGCGCGATCAGGGCGAGCCGCCGTCGCCGCCGCCGCTGTCCCCGCGCTCGCCCGCCCCGCGCGCTGCCCGCTCCCAGCTCGGATTGCCTCCAGCCGCCGCCGCCGCCGCCGCCCTCGCCCCCGCCTCCCTCCTCCGCTGAGCCTACCCGCCCGCGTCGTGGCCAATCGGAGGCCACCAAGCTGCAGCGGTAGCCGGCCGGATCCGCGGCAGCCGCCCGCCCCCGCCCAGCCGAAGCGCCCCATTTTTGCTGCAGCCCGCGGGGGGTCGCCGGAGGGAAGCCTGGGGTACGCGGAGCACAGCCCCGGCAGGTGGAGGGGCTGCGGGAAAGAAAAAGAACTTGCGCAGGAACTTGATTGGGTGGCAGGTTCATTTTTGGACCGCGATGGGGATCGGATAGAGATGAGGCTTTGGAGGGGGGATGACTCCTCCGAAGCCTAACGCACGCTTCTCTTTCCGTCCTGTTATTCTTTCGAGATAGACTGGTTGGTTTTTTTTTTCTTTCTGGGCAGGGGCAGACACAGCAAACTGGCGACGCAGGCAGGGCGCATCCTGGCCATTGTCTGCCGCGCTGCCATGAGCCACCTGCGGGCCGGGAGGGCGAAGGCCCGGCACCTCTCCCCTCTTTGCGGATGTACTGAAACTGCGAAGTTTGGGTGTGTTTGTTATGTTGATTTTCCCTCTGGGGGTTTGTGAGTGCGTGTTATTTTCTTTGAAGTCTCCCGTTTTCTGTTTCTATTCGTTCGTGACACTGTTCACAATTTTTAGCAAGTGGTCTAAGGGACTTTGACTTCCCTCCCTAAACCACTGCCAAGAACAACAAAAAGTATAGAACGAAAGAAAAAGAAAGCGGGGGGAAAAGGAGCTAAAAGCCAGAACTTGCCCTGAAGCATAGGATTATCTAAGAGATAAAATGACTGATTCTGAGTTCGCACCAAGTAAAGGATTTTTGCTTCGTCCTTGTAAGGCATAAACTTGGAGTGGATCACAAAAAAAAAAAAAAAAGTGAGAGACTTCACAAGTTTGGGTCACAGGCATTTGTGGAATGGAGGGAGGGGTGAGGAGCAGTCGATTTTGGTGAGGTATTAAGTTTTTGTCAGTAATTTTTTTTTAAAGGTTTTTTCAGGTAAAGAAAAATACCTTTCTTTTTTCCCCTAGGCTTTTCAGCACTTAGGAATTCATCAAACTTCGTTGCAATTAATGTGCATTCCTCTTCTTCTTTGGATAACTGAAGAACTAAGATTATTTGAATTTGAGTTTCAAGATGCTGATTATTTAAGAACTTGATAATGAATCTCTAAAAATCAAGTACTAATTTCTTTGACATAAGTGATGCAGCTTTTAATAATGTACTGTCACTAGCTCGGCTTTTAAAAATTCAGTATTCATAGGGAAGTTGATTCAATTTTAATTAAAACATAATATTGTAGGCCTTTTAAAAATGAAACTCAATTTTTTTTCCTGGATTTTCTTTCCAAAAGAATAAGAAAGATCATGTTAATTAAATTTAAAGACAAAAGGCTCCACTTGTTCTTTCTCTTCCTTCTTTGCTAGATAGTATTGTCACATTATTGCTAATTGACCTAAAATTTCTCCTTATAATTGGATATTTGTGAGTTCCACTTTCAAGGAGTCATGTATAATAGAAAAACATCTAGCAGCAATATTGGGGATATCCTTTGTTGTACTCAAAAATGAATTTATAGAGTTCATCTCTGTGCCTAAGAATTAAGCTGTGATCCCGGACTTGAGGCTTTAGTTACAGCCTCACCAGTCCCAGCAATAGCCACTGATGTTTATTGCCATTCTGATTAATTTAAAGGTAGAAGAGATTTCAGTATGAATAACTATTGCTTATTAGTATTATTTGCTTGAAGCTTTAAAAATTGTTCCCTTTATAAATAAAACTCTTACTGTGACTTCAAAATCTGCTTTGGAATGGCTGTCAGTCAACTAATTCTCTTGATCCCAGTGATTTTCAATTAGCCACGTAAGCACTAACAGTATTTTATTTTTTATTTATAAAAAATTTATGTCCAGCTTCCATGAGTCTCACTCGTCAGTGGTTATAGGTTGCTTTGGAATCTTACCTGAGCTTAACTTGATCACGTGCTTGGCCCAGTCTTGCTAATCAGCCTTTGATCAGGAGAAGGGAGAATCTAGTCGGAGATCATCTTATTGGAGACCGGCACATCCATTTGATGCTAATGAAAGTAGATCTAGTATTGACTTTGGTGCTCAAGACAAATGGTACCTCCATTTTGCCATTCTAAAGGTAATCTACTGGGTTATTCATACCTTTGGGCCAGCTCTCAGGATTTTGGCTTCTGCTCAAAGCATTGCCAGCCTGAAGACTAACTTTCTATCATCTTGCACAGCTCCAGGGATGAAGGGGCTTAGGCAGTGACCTAGAGAAACAGCTTGATTGTGGGGGGAGTAGGGAACACAAGAAAAATAATAATTAAAACTAAGACTGGCTTATACTCTGAAAATCAGCTTAATCCCTTGATTTCTGAACTAGGCACTGCTGCTGACCTACTCCAAGAGGTCTGAAATGAATACCTGTGTCAAACATATGGACAGACTGAATAAATTATAACTCCTGCACACATAGTAAGATTTCATATGCATGTAAATGCCATGATGATTCATTTTTAAACATTCATTTCAAGGAAAAGTCAGAATAACTTCATGTTCTGGTGTGTATTCTCAAACAGGATATGCTAAACATACAGATACATCACACGAGTATTTTTCTAAAAAGGTCCTGACTTTGGAAAGAAATACAAACAGTGGTTGTCAAGTCTGCAACCTGCCGCCTCCCTCCCCACCCCCCTGCCCCAAACACAGACACACACCTCTGGGACAGGATACACAGTAGTCTTGGCTTCTGACACCCAGCTGAGAGCCCTTCCCAAATGTTGACTCAAGACCCTCCTCCATGGTTCCCTTTTCTTGCCTTGTCTACAGGATAAACTAGAATTGTCCCTTCTCCCTCAGGAAGTAGCTCTGGCATTTGCAAGTTTCTTCCCAACTAGCTTTAGTGTGTTAACACTGACCTTCCCTGGGTTCATAGGCCTTTTAGAGTTACAGGCTGTTGTAAGTGAAACATAAAGGTGGTCTGTGCAGCTCCTTCATTTTCTAGGAACACTAAGGCTTAAAGATATACACAAGGCTACCAGAGGCAAATAGACAACACTGACTGGGACTCAGCCTTACTGCCAGTCTTCTGGTGTGTGTGTGTGTGTGTGTGTGTGTGGTAGTTGTTCAGTTGTGTCTGACTCTTTATGACCTCATGGCCTGTCGCCCGCCAGGCTCCTCTGTCCATGGGATTTTCCAGTTAAGAATACTGGAGTGGGTTGCCATTTCCTTCTCTAGGGAATCTTCCCAACATGGGGATCAAACCCACGTCTTCTGTATTGCTTGAGGATTCTTTACCATCTGAGCCACTAGGGAAACCCAGTCTTCCCTACAGAGATTCCCCCCCGCTTTTTAAAAATTTTTTATTTTTTTCATTTATTTATGTTAGTTGGAGGCTAATTACTTTACTTTAGAAAAATTCACCCATGTGGAATGAGAATGGTTTAAAAAACTAAAGGAAAATTTAATGATGCTGGGGATTTGTCCAGTATTCCTCTCAGGTTTTTGTTCCTCAAAGTAGGTGTGATTGGAGATGTGACTCTGCATTTCCTTTCACTGGTCTCCATCCTCAGGTACCTTTCTCACTGTGATCATCTCACCATACTGAGTGTGATTCTAGCATTTCAAGATTCATATCTTTGATACAACCTGGAGCCAAGTGCAACCCAACCGTTCGTCTGGTCCTCACCTGGAGAAGACATGATGTGTTTCAATACTGGAAAAAAAAAATTCCTGGCTTTTAAAATAATCCACTCTGGTTTGGAAATATTACTTAGGTTTCTTTCTCTTTTTTTCAGTTTTTGAAAACCAAATTCAAAAGTTTTCATGGACAGTATCACCAAATTTATAACTTGAAGTATATATGGTCGAGGAAGTTGAGTAAATGAATTAGTTTTACATTTGCACGATGAGGGGCATAACTCACAGGCAGTCCCTGTATTGGGAGAAGCACCACAGAGAAAGAATCATGTTCTGGAAGGTAGAAGGGTGTGA